AATATCCTTTCAGTGATTTTGTTACATAAGATTGTGACTTTCATTTTAGGAAAGACATCTTGAAGAATTTCACACTGCAAAGAACTGCATACAACCTTTGACTAACAACTAGAAACTGAGGTCCTTAGTCGACTCCACAACCCTTGTGAAACTGAACTAGATCAACTGCATGAGTTTGGATTTAGATCCCTCCATACTTGAGGCTTAAGACTCCAGTTTTGTTAATTATAACATTGTGAGAGATCCTGAAGCAGAGGACCCAGCTCAGCATTGAACTTCTGACCCACAGAAGATGTGAGATAATACACGTAGATAAATTTATGGAAATTTGTTACACAGCAGTAGATAAGTAACACATACATTTGATAAAACTGCTTTCTTGTAGCTGGGCATGGTGGTGCAGGCCTGTAATCACAGCACTCCATAGGCTGAAGCAGGAGGATCGCTGTAAGTTAAGTTCAAGGCCAACCTGAAATGTGTAGTGAGACCCTGTCTCAAAAAACAAAACAAAAAAACCCCCTGTGCTTTCTTTCAAGTCATTGAAAGTCTCTAATAATGTAGTGCTAAGTCAGAACGCTGGTTCACTTGGTTAGAAACCATTTTAAGTTTTTACTGATCAATTAATTACCACTCCCTTAGGTTTATTTGTGCAAGAAATAGTCTTAATTGTGCTTTCACTTGGCCTACATGTTCTCATTTTTGTATCATGAAACTGCTTACCAGCTGCTTTGTTAAAATTCCAGGTATACTATGGTTCTGTCCAAAAAGAGAATGAGTTCGTCTGTCATGCTTTTTCTATAAACTCATGCTGACTTAGTGGTTACTTTTTTTCCCCAGTTGTTTAAAAACACATCTTTCGGACATTTCCTTGACTTACGGTTTGCAGATTCTACCATCTTTTCTTATTATAAAAGTAAAATGTTTTACCTATCTCCAGTTTTCTCTCAATCTACTGGGTTTTGTATCAGTGCTCAGATTTTGCCAGTAGCTTATGGGTTAACCTGTAAGTTTCATCAAAACCTTGGAATGTAATTTGTTCAGCCTACAAGTGGTAGATTTATTTAGAGAAGTCAGGTGTTCTCATAATCTTTATCTTCAGTTCCCTCTTATGATGTTTGTTTTGTACTTTTTAATTTAATATGATTTTTTTCAGTAGGAAAGAAAGAAATGGGTTACTCATTAATCATTGCATCATGAATTCCAGCAAGGGACATTTCTTTCCTTGCCTTTTCTCTGAATTTCATCCTTTTTGGCAGTAACTTTATTAAGATATAAATTGTGTACAATATAACTCATCCTTTTAGAATGCATAATTCCATAATTTATTCACAGAGTTGGACATCCATCACTACTGTCTAGTTTTACAACATTTTGTTACCCAAAAAAGAAACCCCATTTCTTTAGGGAACATCTTTTTTTTTTTTTTTTTTTGGTACCGGGGATTGAACTCGGGACTTTGCGCTTGCAAGGCAGGCAGTGGAAACACTGAGCTAAATCCCTGGCCCTAAGAAACCCCATTTCTGTTATTAATCACCCTTTTTCCCAAATTAACCTCCTAGCTCCAGGCAACCATTAATTTACTTTCTATCTGTATGGATTTGGCTATTTTCACCTTTCTTTGGAATGGTATCATAGGACATGTGGTCTTTTGTGACTGACTTCTAACACAGCATGTGTTCAAGATTCATCAGTGTTGTAGCATATATGTACTTTTTCCTTTTTATTGCTAATTGTATGGATGTATTACATTTTATTTATCAATTCATCAGTTGATGAACATTTCTACTTTTTGCCTCTTAAGAATAATTGCTGCGATGAACATTTGTGTCCAGCATTTTAGGTGGACATGTGTTTTTGTTTTTCTTGATTATATATCTAGGAGTAGAGATGGTTATATACGTAAGAGCTGAGTCATACGGAGACTGTATTGCCAAAGTAGCCGCACCATTTTATATTCCATGAGCAGTGTAAGGGGATTATATTTTTCCATATCATCATTTATTATATCTTTGTTTTTGAGGCAGGGTCTTGCTATGTAGTTCAGACTGGCCCTAAACTCATTATGTAGCCCAGGCTCACCTTGAACTCATGGCAACTTTCTTGCCTTAGCCTCCCGAGTACTGGGATTACAGGTGTGTGCCACCACGCTTGGTGTACTATGTCTTCTTTTTTTTTTGATACCGAGGATCGAGCTTGGAACCTTGTGCTTGTGAGGCAGGCGGCAGAACCACTAAGCTAAATCCCCAGCCCATTTATATACATTTTTGAGAAGTTTCTATTTAAAAGTTTTACCCAGGTTTTATTTATTTATTTATTTGGTACCAGAGATTGAACTCAGGACCTTGCACGTGCGAGGCAGGCATGGTACCACTGAGCTAAATCCCCAGGCCCTTCACCTAGATTTTAATTGGGTTATTTCTTATTATTGAGGTGTTTATGTACATAAACTACATATAGTCTTTGTCAAATATGTGACTTACAAATATTTTCACACTTCCTGTGAGTTCTTTTCACTTTCTTGATACTTATAAAATTAAATTTTTAGTAAGATGAGTGTTTTTCCTGCTATTGTTTCTTGTTGTTTTGCTGTTACATGTGAGAAACCATTGCCTAATTTCTGAAAGATCTGTGCTTCTCTCTTCAGCACCAAATATGTGCTCTCTTTTCTATATCTGAGCTAGTCAAAAAAGCTCCCTTGATGTCATATTAACTTTAAAAATTATCTTTCCTTATTCTTCTAAACCGTTTCCTATCAGAATATGTAGTGGTTAAGAGTGAGAACTCTTGAGTCACACTGAGTTTGAATGTTGGTGTTTCTACTTTATAATCTTAGGAAAGTGACAGCTTTTTAAAGCTTCAACTTCATGTATAAAATGGGAATAATAGTACTTCTTACCTCAAATTTTACGTGAAAGATTAAAATGCTTGGTATAGAGCTTTATACAAAGAAAACACTTGAAACTTTCCAGCTATATTATTAGAAATCGTCTTTATTATTATTATTTTTTCTTTAAGTATTATTTTAGAGAACTTTTCCCTCAGCAAAAATATTTTAATAGGTGTCTTTCTTGACTTTGTATCAGTTTGAGTAATGTTAGTTTATGGTAGAAGTTTAATATATATCAGCTAATTTTTGTTGGCTTTTTTTGGTACCAGGGATCGAACTCGGGACCTTGCGCTTGCGAGGCAGGCGCCAGAACCACTGAGCTAAATCCCCGGCCCATATATCAGTTAATTTTAATTGATCTGTAATATATAATTCCTATTACATTATGTGAGAACTGGAATGTGTTTGAACTTGCTAAGGAGCTTTTTGTTGTTGTTGTTTGTTTTTTGAGACAGGGTCTCGCTATGTAGTTCAGGCTGGCCTTAAATTCACTATGTAGCATAGGTTGACCTTGAACTTGAGGCACTCCTCCTGCCTCAGCCTCCCAGTGCTGGTCTTACAGGTGTGTGCTGCCACACCTGGCTGAGAGCTTTCAAAAAACAAAAAACTCCAAAAACCACCGCCCCCAGCACTGAGGACCAGAGTTGCCCCCAAAACAGAGGAGGTGAACCCTCCGGGCCACCGAACCACTGCCCCCGGTGCTAAGGAGCAGAGCTGCCCCCAGCACAGAGGAGGTGAACCTTCTGGGCTGGTGTACCATCACACCCAGCACAGAGGAGGT